CTGCTCTTGTCTGCAAAACAAAGTGTTTTAAGCTAGGAAAAGCGTCCTGCCGGCAAACAATGTGGTTTGTTCAAGACTTTACCCATGGTCTGCTGATCAGCAAAATCACAAGAGATGGTCACACGCATCAGCTTCGTGCTTGGCTCGCTTCACGTAGCGTTGGCTTTTCGTCGTCCTTGAACTGCTGCGGTAACCCTTTGAGGGACGGCGCATCGGCGTGGGATTTTTTAAAATGGGCCTGCACAGAGTGAGGGCCGCCTTTGCCGTGCACTAACACAGAGTCCTTGTGATCGGCTCCTCGGAAAGTCGCAAAGGAGACTTTGTCAGCACAACCACCACGTGCCTTGATCCACTCCTGCGCAGCGGCTTTCTCCTTCTCGTCCTGGCATGCAACTACCAAGTCAGAGCCTAAGGCGTGTGTCTTGACCCGCTTGGCTGCAACAACAGGTGCCGTCCATGCCTGGGCATAAAACCGAAAATTTCGGGCTTGACCTTTGCTATGTCCGGTGTGTTAGGCTTTGGGGCCTTCAGGGCTTGAAAAAGGTCGCTCCACTTTCTTGGGCTGGAGGCTGTGGGGTCAGTTGCGGAGCACGGGGTTCCTGGCTGTCAGGGGCCTGGCCGCCAGGGACTCTTCGGCTCTCCGAGTCCACGTGCTTTCAAGAAGCTGCACGAGGAAGACTCTGGATTGAACTTCAGTCGGTTTCGTTCTCGCTTGAATGATGCGAAAGGCATCAGGCAGTTCCTGCAGCAAAGAGGTTGTTTGGTTCCTCTTTTTCTTTCTCTTCTTAGGCGGCCCCCCGTGGAAGGGCCACTAGGTGGGTCCGCTAACCTGCTGCTGCAACATGCGCACTTGGCTAGCGAGCTCGCCAACTGCATTGGCAAGCGTGGCAATCTTTTCATTGCTATTTCTGGCGGTGGTCCTTGCACCACCACCTCCACCACCGTGCACAAAGGTAAATGTGCCGATTGCATTCTGTAGTAAGCCCGCTGCCATTGAAGAAGCAAGCCAGGCCTAAAAAAGGCGTCTGCTTCCAGCGCGGCATGCCACACATGCAGTGCACTTCATGCTTTCTAGGATCGGCCCTGTGATCCTGGGGCCAACTTGACAAAACTTTCCGTCTTCTGAAGCATCTCTTTGCTTCACTCACAGCTGCTGGCCAGCATCTTCGGAGAGCGAGGCTGGCAATGGCAATCGCAACTGCTAGAAAGATTGTGAGTGCAGTTCTTGCATCGGCCAAGCCACGCATGAGCACTCTAGCCACGCTAAGCATAAAAACTAGTAGTGCAAAGAAGCAACTCAGTTGCGATGGGCTGTTCCTTCGCAACTCTCCTCCCAGTCCCGTCTTCGCCATCGAGGAGGCGAACAGCTGGAAGACCAGGTCTGTGCAGAGTGTTCGTACTGCGTCACGTGAAATAACATTTACCACCAGGTGTTTCTGCGGTTGTTCCAGTTTCCCCGTCTGGTACATCCGAATAATGTCATTGCGTCGCATGTCCGTGGAAAGCCGAGCGTCCAGGCCAGTAAGCCACTTGCAGCCGGATGAACAGGGCTTGGGGCATCTGCGGCCGCAACAGTTCCAAAATATGTGCCGGTGCCAAGACCTGCGGCATTCTCCTTTGGCTGGCCAGCTTGGCACTGCACTGTGGCGATCCCTGATAAAGAGCTCGAGATAGAACCAACACACAGCCCGGAGAACTTTGGTTCGGAACCCAGCCGCAAACTGTCGGCGCTCGGCATCGGCCCTGCCGACACCCATGCCTGGAGTGACGTCTCCGACATCACCATCGACTTCGGAGGAATCAGTGCCATTGCCATCCAACTAAGCATCTTCCTCCACATCGGAGGTGTGCAGCGATTCCGGGCCAGGCGGCGTTGGCGCGTGGCATTGGCATCCCCCGGCCCGTAGGCCCTGTAAGACGAGATGCACCCTCGGCGCTCCAAGCAGTCCTGCACGCACGGCAATGGCGAGCTAAGCGAAAGGGCCCGCATCAAAAACACAGGTTGGGCCGGGACACTTCCTCCTCCTCCTCCTACTACTACTACTACTACGACGACGACTAGTATT